TAAAAACCATGGAAATGTGTCACTTAGCATTCTCATAATAAAATGCCATTATGGTGTTACCGGTGTCAGACCGAATGAAAGAAAAAACGGACATGCGTGACTTCTGAAAACTGTATCCTGGGGTATCAGAAACAAGAAACTATGATTCTTACTTCAAATCTATATTTCATCAAAGTCTTTTTGAGATGGTGTTGCTCATCTTAGGTCTTGTGTATTTTGATAACAAGTTCACCCTTTTAAATATCCTAAGGCACATTAACTGGCTAGGATCAATGGGAGAGAAAGAGATAATATATCCTACAACAAATATATTCTCTTGGTGTGTTTCTGAAAGTGGATGACTTGGAAAAAGGCTTGAGAAGCACTGCGTAGTGGTTAGGAACATGGATTCTATAGCCAAAGAGCCTGGGTTTTAATTCTGACTCTAGTACTTCCAGCTGTGACCTTATGCTTTTTGTAAATTATTTAACTTTTTGGTGCCTCGGTTTTCACATGTTTCAAATGGAGATGACCACAGTATCTAATTCATCAAGTTGTTAAAAGAAATCATTTTATAGTTCTCAAAATAGTGCCAGACAAAAAAGTTAGCACTATGCGTTATTATTATGGCTAATCGCCTCCCCAAAAATATGTCTGACAAATCACTATAAATTTTGAACTCCTTCATTTATTTTTTGAAATAGAATATTTTGTATAAGTTAGCTTATTGTTGAGCTGTCTGAAAAGAGACACCGGAATATTCCCATATTTATATGATAAATGAGGCTAATGCTTACCATAGAGATTTGTGAAATATTTGATTACAGTAAGACAGCTTCCTTTGGGGAAGGAATCTTCTAAATATTTTGCCACACCGGGCCTGGCCAGTGTGGCTCATTTGGTTGAGCGTCGTCCCATGCACAGGAGGCCGCCAGATCGATTCCCAGTCAGGGCACATGCCTAGGTTTCAGGCTTGATTCCTCAAGAGGGGACATGCAGAAGACAGCTGATCAATGTCTCCCTCTTATGGATGTTTCTATCTCTCGTTCCCTCTCCCTTCCTCCTGCTGAAATCAATAAAAATATTTTAAATTTTCTTAAATATCTTGCCTGGTGTCTAAGTCCTAAACATGGAATATTAATGAAAATAGTAGGTCTAGAAAGAAAGTATATACAGAATATATATATATAGAGAGAGATTTGTTCCTTATTGTAGTAAGATGCTGTAGCAGCTCCAGCCTCCCAACTTCCCAGACTTAAATCCAAGAGGAACAAAGACCCAGAAAAACTCATGTTGTATCTTACTTGAATATATATATACACATACTGATGTTACAATGTTACTCTCTAAGTATTGGAGCACTAGAAATATGACAGATATGTGACTGGAGTTCACTCATTTGTTTTTGTTAATCAGCAGCAATGCCCCCTTATTCTAGTTATAGTACCCCAACTCTGCTTTTGACAAATGTTTCTATACCATCATCACCTGACTGTTCATAGGTTTCAAGTGAGGTTTCCTCCTATTTCCAAGGGCAGGGCATTTGGCTTAGGGAAAGCCACCAAAGCACAAAGCTTGGCTTTGCCCTGGATGGAATGATGACTGCAGGAATGGGCATGTGACCCAACTGGAGTCAGTGAGATACACCATGAGTTTTTCTGGGTCTTTGTTCCTCTTGGATTTAAGTCTGGGAAGTTGGGAGGCTGGGGCCGCTATAGCATCTTACTACAATAAGGAACAAATCTCTGGAAAAGCTGTCACCATAGAAGCCAGAGCTAAAGGATACAGCATGACTAGGTGCAGGTAACATTAGTTGAGCTCCAAAATCATCCCAAGCCTAAAGATAGTTGTAGACAATAAAACTTGAACCAATGAACTCCCTTCTTCCCTTCCTCCTTCCCTCCCTCCCTCTCTCCTCCCTCCCTTCCTCCGTCTCTCCTTCTCTCCCTCCCTCCCTCCCTCCCTCCCTCCCTCCCTCCCTCCTTCCCTCCCTCCCTCCCTCCCTCTCTCCCTCTCTCCTTTCTTTCCTTCCCTTTCCTTCCTTCCTTCCTTCCTTCCTTCCTTCCTTCCTTCCTTCCTTCCTTCCTTCCTTCCTTCCTTCCTTCCTTCCTCCCTCCCTCCCTCCCTCCCTCCCTTCCTTCCTTCCTTCTCTCCTTCCTTCCTTTTCTCCTTCCTTCTTTCTATTCCATGTTCCCTTTCTTTTAAGCCAATTTGAGTCATTCTTTTGTCTCTTATAACCAAAACAGACTTGGTATAGTGACTAAAAATTCTTTAGGGCTATATCTTCTCTTTGCTTGTTTCTGATAAATGTATTTTTAAATGAAAATAGTTAAGCTAGAAAATAGGCAAAATATACCAATTTAATAATTATAACTTTTTCTGATTATAATTGGTGTCACTTTTATTCTTATTTTATTTTAGGCTTTTTTGCATGTGTAGGTGTTTGTTTTTAAGACTGAATTAAGTTCACAGATTTTTTGGTGTCAGATTTCGAGTTTGAATTCTGCTTGTGTGATCTTAGGTGACTTTTTCCTAACCTCAGTGTGCTTGTTTTCTTCAGTTTTTAAATAAAGGACATGAAAGTGTTTATCTGTCAGGGTTGTGGGGAGCATGAAATGAAATAGCACATGCAGATGTCTTAGCCCAGTCAGTGACTGGCACATAGTAAGCCTTCAAATCTTAGCTCTGCTATTAGTTGAAAGACTGGCATTTAGGATCCCACTGGCTGTTCAGTTTTCTTCTGATTGTGTTTCAGTCATTTAAATCAGAGATAAAATAAAATTGGTGTCTCATCAGGTTTATTTTATTTCTAGAGAAAGCTAACTCGTATAACACAAAGGCAACCTCTTTGTTGAATTAGCAAAGCATTTTATTGGATTTCAGATACTCTGGGGCTGAGCCTAGTGTTAAATTGCACTGTATATCAGACCTTCATTAATATAATTGCTGTTTTATGAGTTTTTATTTTTATCCCTAAGTTATTTACTTTCATTTTACTTTTAATTTGAATTATTTGTATTGATTAAATGATTTCTGGCTTGGCAAATAAAAGCACAAACAGAAGCATTATTAGTTAACAAAATTAATAATTGAAGATCAGACTTCCATTACTGAAAGCTTTGAGCTGCTTCAAACATATGTCTATGTACACCCTGAGGAGTTTCTCTCCACAGTTGCCCCGCCCTCTAGTGGTAGTTACAAGAATGCCATTTTGTAGTCCCCTGCACAGGAAATGCCTGTTCTTACTTCAGTTACCACAATCCTTTTACAGGAAGTTAGGTGTGGTCTTTGAAGGAGAATTAAAAAAAAAAAAAAAAAATGAAAAAAAGCATGATGGAATTTTATCTGCAGTCTTCTTGATGCCAGTTTATCAATCCCAAAATCTGAGTATAAAAGATTCTGCAGGGGTAATGTTTTAATATTCTTATTATGCTTGTTCTCTGTGATGCTTCTGTATCTTTACAGTAGAATCCTTGGGGGAATCAGCAGAGGACCACTTTCATTTTGAACCTGCTGACTGCATGTGTTAGCATGTCTCTTTTATTAGAACATCCAGGCATGGCAGTTCTCTGCTTGCACACTCCGGGGAGGGACTGCCATGCCTGTCTCCAGGCAAAAGGGTCTCTGGGGCTGGGTGAGGAAGATGAGGGCTGTTTGGAGGCACTGTGATACTGAAGGCAGTCTGCTGGCTGGGGGCTGAAAGGTCCTACCTAGTCTACTTCGAAAACAAATGTGGAGACGGTACCGTAGCTTATGTTATTTTTAATGTCCCTGTTTTGTCTGGTGCATGCTACAGAAATTACCCAGATATTAAGGAATTGTACTCTTAGAAAATGCACTTCATAATAACTGGCAATTCTCATTCCTGTACAGTGGGGTTAAAATGGATTGACATTTTTTAAAAGAGGGGAAAATAGGTAAATTATTGAATACAGATGACATCCCGGTGTCAAGATTTTGGTTGTATTATTTTAAAAAGCATAGACACTCCTGCCACTGATTGAGAGGTCACATTCGGTGTGATTGGTGTGCTCTGTTGGGTTATATATGTTAATCCAGCCAAATGTGATTAGAATACAGTAAAACTTCATTTATGGTATTGCGAAGACCAGCCGAATAGGAGTTTGCTTAAAGGATAAACTATCTTCAACTTACTGTTGTTTTTCAAGTCCAAAGCTGCTCTGTACCTTTTATGAAATGGGCACTATTTGAGAAAATGGGCTTTCTCCAGAGTATTTTCTAAGGCACTGCAAATTTGTTCACTTAGGAAGCAATGACACCAGCTAACAGCAGGTTGCTAAGCCGGGGGTCCTAGCTCCAGACCTCTGACGCGGGTGACTTCCTGCCCAGTTTGGCAGGAGCTGGATCCCTTCCTGTGCAGCTTCTGAGCAGTTCCAAACGCAACTGGGCATCCCCTGCTCCTTCCTGCTCCCTTGCTTTCAAGCAGCATCCACCTATGTTCCCACCGCCTGGCATTTCGGGATCCCCAGAGCTTTTCACCAGGTGCGTGGATTTTGAAGAAGCTCTTAGGGGTGGAAAAGTAGGCCAAAAGGAGCATAGAAAAAAAAATAAAGAGATACGTGCAAGATCCCCAGAGCAGCCCAGGTTCTACAGTTTTGGGTGATGATTCATCTCTTGTTTTGGATCTCTGATATTTTTTCAGAAATGATTTTTTTTTAAAAGATGGCTGCCAAATTATTCACACAAGTGAAACAGCAAGCACAAACCAGTATCCTCCATTTCTGAGTTCTGAATTGAATATTTCTACTTAAAACATTTTGGAAGAGGGAGAGAAGATTACCTCATAGACATCTACTGAATATGTAAGATAGATCTCCAGGCGAGCAAGTGAATACATGCAGAGAATTCCCTGGGTGCCAAATACAGCTGCCTTAGTAAAATATTGTTACATCTAGCTTGGTTTATATATTTCGTGTCAATATCATGTAATTGCCAGTCACCTTTTCCCCTAATGGCTATTGCTTTCTCTCTCTCTGTGTGTGTGTCTTTTGTTTCCATAGCACTTTCTTCTGCAAGGAGCTAAACAGTGACTAAAGCAGGATGAAAAGATGGCACAGTCAGTGCTGGTACCGCCAGGACCTGACAGCTTCCGCTTCTTTACCAGGGAATCCCTTGCTGCTATTGAACAACGCATCGCAGAAGAGAAAGCGAAGAGACCCAAGCAAGAGCGCAAGGATGAGGATGATGAAAATGGCCCAAAGCCAAATAGTGACTTGGAAGCAGGAAAATCCCTTCCATTTATTTATGGGGACATCCCTCCTGAGATGGTGTCAGAGCCCCTGGAGGACCTGGACCCGTACTACATCAATAAGAAAGTGAGTTCTTGATCAAGTGCCCTTGACTTCCCCTACTTCCTAATTGGTTCTGGGCTCTCCCCAGGGATGTCTGGTAAAGAGCACTGGGTCTCTTCCTCTCTGGGTCAGGTAGAAGTAGGATGCTGGGTGGGCCTGCCCATGGAATGACCTTATTATCCTAGAAGTGTCTTGGAAGCACTCATTGGAACCTACATTCTCAGAGCAGGCAGAGAATTAAAGAAGCATTCTGCAGAGTGGGAACTGAGGAAGGGCAAAGGCTGTCACCCTACAGTGTGGTGAAGCAGAAAGTGAAAAAGAGTCATTGTTTCATATGCGTGTTTTATACAGATGGGGCAAAAGTGGGTTCATGGGTGCTCATATAGAAAAAAAAAATACAATCTATACTAATAAAAGGGTAATATGCTAATTAGACTGGGAGACCTTCCAGGAGACCTTCTGGATGTTCTTCTGGACAAAGCCATGGTGGCGGGGCCGAGGTAGAAGCGGTTAGAGGCCAAGAGGGGAGGGCAGTTGTTGGTGATCAGGCTGGAAGGGGGCAGGGCCGTTGGGGGTAAGCAGACCAGCAGGGGGGCCAGTAGGGGGGCAAGCAGGCCATCAGTGGGGGTCAGTTGGAGGTGATCAGGACAGCGGGGGGGGGGGCAGTTTGGAATGAGCAGGCCAGCAGGGGGGCAGTTGGGGGTGAGCAGGCCAGTGGGGAGGGAAAGTGGGGGCAAGCAGGCCAGCAGGGGGTGCAGTTGGAGGTGATCAGGCTGACAGGGGGCATTTGGGGTCAAGCAGGCCAGCGGTGGGGGGCAGTTGGGGGCGAGCAGGCTGGCCGGTAGAGCGGTTAGGGGCAATCAGGCAGGCAGGCAGGCAGGTGAGTGGTTAGGAGCCTGCAGTCCCAAATTATGAGAGGGATATCTGACTGCTGTTTTAGGCCCGATCCCTGTAAACCGGCAGTAGGACATCCTTCGAGGGGTTCCAGATTGGAGAGGGTGCAGGCTGGGCTGAGGAACACCCCCTCCCCCGTGCACGAATTTCGTGCGCCGGGCCACTAGTAACTAATAAATGATAATACAAGAATAAACTTTGTGTTTGGTGTACTCACAGCTGTAAACCTACTTTTGCCTCACCCTACATTTCCAGGAGTAGTGTCTAAATGCCTCTTTATGATATTAAGCTCTATATAAGGTACTTGGCTTTTCAGCAGGTTTACACCTTCATGCCATAGACTTTGCCCTTTCCAAGTGCCCAAAAAAGAATGTTATCCAAAAATACACTTGGAAAACCCTGAAGTTCTTTTGAATTTATTTTTTTTTAAACGAAGAAGTAATCACAGCTTCCTTTTATGTGTTTCATGAATTATAATTACAGTTTAAAATACTGGTATCAAAACTTGATAAAGATGCTTAGACTTTCTATGGCATTGACTATAATTTTTTTTTTTTATTTTCTTTAAATCTTCATGTCATGTACTGATTTATGAGGATTTACAGTGCTCACAGAAAAAAAGCATCTATCGTGATGTCATATGTTGGTAATTGGTATGTTGCTACATTATATTATAAGGCTATGTGTCTAAAGAATGGTCTCCCCTTTCTCTTCAAATGTCCTGGATGCGTATTCTAAATCCTGCTTTGTATGTTGTGCCTTTTCTTTTTCAGACATTCATAGTATTGAATAAAGGGAAAGCGATCTCTCGGTTCAGTGCCACCTCTGCCCTGTACATTTTAACTCCCTTCAATCCCATTAGAAAACTAGCTATTAAGATTTTGGTACATTCATATCCTTTTTTCAAATAGTCACTTGATGTGACTTTGCTTTTTGACCGAATTATTGAGCTGGGATGTTATTTTTTAAAAAATATATGTGGTTGGTTGGCAATGTTATATGCGTTTTCTTTCCTCTTACTTAACAGTTAGCATATTACAAAATAGGATCATAGGTAAGTGAAACAGTTTTTCTTATCTTCTAAGTGTCTCTCCTCTCCCTGACATACTACTTCCTTCTTTCCTCCTCTGCTCCCCCCTGAACTGCTTGCTGCATTAAACAATTCTTTATGAATTTTGACTATATTGCCAAATTCTCCTATTACATGTCTTCCTCTTCAAATTTTACAATGTTATGTAATGGGTCAACTTCATGAGCTAATTTTGTTTACTGCTTCTACTTTTGGAAAATATAGACCTAATCTTAGTCACACAATTTTATTTCTTTTTTTTTTTTGGTCTAAATTTTATTATTTTCTGTTTTTTAACATTTGAAAGCTTTGGGTTGGTAAGTGCTTAAAATTGTGACTGTGTACATATTAGCCTTTCAATATTTCTTCAAATTCAATTCCCAACAGTATTCCCAGTGATTTTCTATTTTCCTTTCCTTTTTTCCTTCCTTCCTTTGTTTCTTTCTTTTCTTTCGGTCACTTGTTCTTATGTTCTATTCAAGTCACAGATCCTGAGATACTGTCTCTCTCCAAAGGATTAATGCCTGTCTACCATTTACATTCTCATTTTATTCTTTGTTCCCCTTATTGAAGCAGCTACTACTTCCTAGAAATGGGATGATGACACTTTGGTGAGAAATGGTCATTTGATTTACTCCTGGAAGTCACATAGAGTAGTTGTGAATGATGAGCTTTATTCCAGGGTGGGGCTAGGGGTCTGCCTGACAGCCAGCCTTGGAAGCAAAGGTTTGGAGGACTGGGCAATGCCACGCAGGGGCAGTTAGAGAAAAAACATGGAAGCATTGGGATGAGGACTGACATGAATCAGGAGCCAGAGGTAAGGTTCCTGAAGGGGAAACTGAAATTTAAGCAAAGCCTCAGCCAGGACAACGTTTCATGTTGCATCTTCTTTAGAAGAGCCTTGCCTGGGGTTCCATGGCATGGCCAGCCCAGGACCTGGCTGTAAAACTTGCAGTAGAAAAGCTCACTGCCCCTAGCAGGCCTAAATAATATTTGAAGTAAATCAAGTGCAGAAGTCAGGAGATGGGATAAGCTTAGTACCAGGGAATCTGTTTCAGTGCTTGGTGGAGAGGCTGTCAATCATGTCCCCAGATTTGCTCAGCATTGGGGTAAATGATTTCTTCAGAAGCATGGCCTTTTGGAAGTCAGTCTCCTTCAATCTCTAGTTCATTCCCCTCTCTCTCCCTCAAAGTTTTGTATAGGCATCAGCATATTTTAATTTGATGTTTTTATATTTTAAGATTTAATCATTTCTTTGGAATTATGTAAAGCAGTGTGTTTCCTTATTTTTTTTCAAGTAAGATAACCCAGGTGTACAAGGAGCAAAAAAAAGTCTTTGACTTAGCATTAGGAATGAGTAATAAAGTTTAGATTTAGATTTGGGTCTCCTGAATTATAAATTATGCTCTATTATTATGTTTCAAGTATTTATAATCTGTGCACTGAATACAACTTTTTATAAATTATTTATTATATCCTATATAATAAAAGGCTAATATTCAAATTGACCTAACAGCAAAATGACTGGTCACTTTGACGTCTCCTGACCACCAAGAGGCAAACGCTCAACGCAGGAGCTGCCCCCTGGTGGTCAGTGCACCAGAAGCCGGGCTCACAGCTGGCGAGCACAGCGGCAGGGACAGGAGCTTCTCCTGCCTCCATGGCAGCACTAAGGGCCCCCCAAGGGCTACTGGACTGTGAGAAGGCGCAGGCCTGGCTGAGGGATTCTCCACCCTCCCCTCAAGTGCACAAATTTTGTGCAATGGGCCTCTAGTTTCTCAAAGAATTATATACCCTTGATATCAACATTATCTCTACATGTAATTATGTGAAAATGCAGATTTACACTAGAGATTTATTCAGAGTAGAAACTGTAGAGTATGTGTTGAATAAATAAGTAACCAATGAATTACAGGTTAGAGAATCAGATGCAAAACAAGTAACAAAATGGAAGGTTTAAATAGGTTAGGAAAATCTATTTTGTTCTGAATCTGAATGATGAGATGGAATTAAAAAAGCCCAATATTAAAGAAAAAGGAAGCTTTTTGTTTTTTAAAAATTTACATGGAGATTTTTGAGAATGTCATGAAAGCAATAATTTCCACTCAAAAAAAATCCTAGAAGGTTAGGGAACCCATGAATTTTAATTTCTGACCCTCCAGAAAGGGAAATTCCAAGTGGTAGAGGAGGAGGGCAGTTTCAGAACCTCTGACCAGAGAATCAGGCCATTGAGGACATAGTTTATGGTGATTGCGCCCTAGGAATCAAGGTACAGCTTGAATTTGTGGGTTTGCACTTGCTTCCAAAAAAAAACAAAACAAAAAAAAACACAAAACAAAACAAACAAAAAAAACCCTAAGGGGCAAAGTTGTTAGATGGCCTGCAGTCATGCAAGTTGAAATGTGAAAGCTACCAGGTAGATCTATTAAGATTTGCCAAAAGGCTGACTCTCCTAGAAGCTTAAAAATTGGCTGATAGCCACAGTTTTCTTCCCATATAGAAAATGTAGATTTTTAAAAATCTCTAATTGCCTATATTAAAATATTATATTTCAAATTACCTCATGCTGGAATAGAGATATAATAAAAGAAAAAGCAGTTGGATAATAGTCTAAGATAGATAAATTTTTTAGTCTTTTGGTGATAATGGTGCACTTGATAAGAGATCCTGGTACACTTTAGTATATACAATTCTATACAGTTTCCAAGAGTGTTTCCTAATAGTTTTGTCTTTTATGTTTCGCAATGCAAACCCTAGGCTCAAATCTTGGTTTTCTGACTTCAGGCTCAGTGCCCTTTGCTGTAAGTTAAAAATGCTTAAGGATTGTCACAATGGGTTAAGAGATTATTGTGTATTCATTATCATTAATTTATAAACCAGGAAATGACCATTCAAAATAAAGAAATTTGTATTTTAAATCTAGACTGATACTTCTACTAACAATAAAAATGCCAGCTTGCTTCATAAAGAACTGTTATCTTCATTAGAAGCAGATTAATATCAAATTGGCTCTGTTTCTTGATTTTGGCAGAATAAGTTATACTTACTGTATTTTTGGCAGGGTATATTTTGAAAACTGAAAATGCTTTTGCTGTGCCTGGTATCTTGCTTTAGTAGTTAAATAAAATATGGTTACATTATTTTAGATAGTAAACAAAAATAATCCATAGTCCTTAAATTGCCAGAGTTTTAAATGTGTTTCATGTCAGTTTTAACTTAATATGCACTTTTTATTTTATATTCATTACTCATTTAAATGTTGATTTGCCAATAGTTATTGAGTATCTACTATGTGGCAGATGTTCTTCTAGGCATTGGGATGCAACATTGAACAAAACAAAGTCCAGTTCTCATGTAGTTACATTGATGTTTATGTGTGTATTTGAGAGGAGAAAGATAATAAAAATAAATCATATCATCTAGTGATAAGTGCTATTAAAAAATAAAGCAGTATAAAAATAAGAGTGGCGAGATGATATGGTCAGGGAAGCACTCATTTCAAATCTTTTTCAACAAAGATTCAAAGGAAGTGAAGAAGTGAGACATGGGGATTTAAGAGAAATGTGAATGTAAGGGGAATAGCAAATACAAGGACAAATTATGAAGGTGAAGGTGAAACTGGGGTGTTCAAGAATCAGCAAGGAGCCCAGTGTTACTGCAGAAGAGTCAGAAAGGCAGGGAGTAGAAGGAGATAGGTCAGTGAGAATGGAGATCAGGGGCTGAAGCTATAGTTCATGGTGAGGACACCAGTTTACTTTTAAGATATGGGAAGAGATGACTGAAGGGTTTTCAACAGAAGAATGTCATGATCTGACTCTCATTTTACAAAGATTGCCCCGTCTGCTTCACAGAGTATATGATGCATGGGGGAAAGTGTAGAAGCAAAAAGATAGATTGGGGGCCTACTGCCATAATGAAGTAAAGGGACGATCATGGCGTGGACTATGGTAGAAACAATGAGGATGGCAAAATGTTATCAGAGAGATGTATTTTGCAGAAGAGCTGTCAAGTTTTGCTGAGCAATTGGATGTAGAATATGAGGAAATGAGTAGAGCTAAGGATGAGTCCAAGTGTTTAGTCGGGTCAAGAAAGAAAAATGTAGTTTCTGTTGACTGAGCTTGGGATAACTTCCAGTGAATCAATAATGGTGAGTAAAATCCAGAGCTCTGATTTGAACATTATGTATTTTATTTTTTATTTTTGAGATGCCTATTAGATGTTCATTGGAGTAGTGTAGAGTTCCAGAAAGGATTGGGCTGGAGATATAACTTTGAGAGATATCAGTATATGGATGGTATTAAAAGTCATGACAAAGATAACAGATTTTGAAGCTCTCTATTTAGAGATACATATTAAATCAAAAGCATAAAAACCTGACTCTAGTTATTGCTTAATTTGTTTTAAAAGCAAATTATTTATTTGCTTTCCTTGTTAAATGTCTCTCAGGATCTTTAACTTAAGTGTCTTTTTTATTTTTCAAATGATAGTCATGCAATGTGGAAAAAAGTGTTTGAGCATAATGCTTTATTAATTTTGACTTACTGGATAATAACCATTTTTTTCTATTGTTTATTAATAGTGAAGTATATGTATTACTTCATTATAACTAGAGGCGTGGTGCACGAACTCATGCATGGGTGGGGTCTCTTGGCCTGGCGGGTGATAGGGCTGATCTGGACCAAGGGAGGTTGGCTGGCTGCAGGAGGTTAGCTGGCCATGGGAGTGCACTGACCACCAGGGGGCAGCTTCTGTGTTGAGTGTCTGCCCCCTGGTGGTCAGTGCACATCATAGCTACAGGACAGCTATCCGGTCATCTGGTCATAATGGTCATAATGGTCGCTTAGGCTTTTATATATAGAGATAATTCTACCATTATAAAGAGTAAATGTTTTAAGGGTCATAACCATTATGACATAAATTTCATGAGGCTATTAATATCCACCTTATGTTTTTATGTCCTCCCTTTCAAAAAAAAGTATAGAAACTTGTGTGCTCAATATATGTGGAGACAAATTTCATATGCACTTTTGCCCCATATCAATAACTAAATCATTAAAAAAGAAAAATATTTATTTAGTCATAAATGAGTTATAAAATTGATTTTCTTTAATAGTCAACTGATACTGTGTGAAATGACAATGATATAATGGTGATCCATACAGACTTTGTCCCTGCCCTCATTAATTATGCATTCTAGTAGAAATAATCAACCTTAAAATTAGTCATTGGAGGAATACTATAAGATGCTACTGGAATAGATTACTGGTATATCTAAAAGGTCAGGTGCTATTGTGAATAACTTTCTACTAGAAATAACTTTTAATCTGAATACTAAAGAAGAAGTATGAGTTAGCTAGAGTGAAGTAGAAAGTGTTTGCAAGTACTGAAGAAGGGGGGAAGGGATGGCATTTGCAAAGACTTACTTGAGAAAGAGCATATTTTACTAGATGATCTGAAACAATTATAATCAAAGGTACAAGGGAGAGTGCAATGAGGAGTAAATAATACAAAACTAGAGAAATAGACAGGAGTTAAGACCTTCTAAAATCTAGATGATTTAAGACATTTGATCAGGATCCTAAAAATAGTGGACAGCTCTTGAAATTATATTGAATTACATTTACAAAGGTCATTTTGGCACAATATGCAGAATAGACTTCTTTTATATATGGAAGTATTGCATATGTCTCCTTCTTCCCCCATTGACCTCTCCCAGCTTGCTCCCACCTCCCTGCACTGGCCATCACCCTCTATTGTCTGTGTCCATCTATTATGCTTCTATACATGCATATACGTCTTTTGGTTGATCTCTTACCTCTCCTCCCACCCTCCCCTGCCTTCCCTCTAAGGTTTGATGGTCTGTTCAATGCTTTTATGTCTCTGTATCTATTTTTATTCATCAGTTTATGTTGTTCATTATATTCCACAAGTGAGTGAGATCATGTGGTACTTATCTTTTTCTGACTGGCTTATTTCACTTAGCTTATTGGCATAATGCTCTCCAGGCCCATCCATGCTGTTGCAAATGGTAAGAATTCTTTCTTTTTGACAGCAGTGTAGTATTCTATTGTGTAGATGTACCACAGTTTTTTAATGCACACATCTGCTGATGGGCACTTAGGCTGTTTCCAAATCTTAGCTATTATAAATTGTGCTGCTATGAACATAGGAGTGCATATATTCTTTCTGATTAGTGTTTCTGAATTCTTGGGATATATTCCTAGAAGTGGGATTACTGGGTTAAGTTTTTGAGGAAACTCCATACTGTTTTCCACAGTGGCTGCACCGGTCTGCATTCATACCAGCAGTGCATGAGGGTTCCTTTTTCTCCATGTCCTTGCCAGCACTTGTTGTTTGTTGATTTGTTGATGATAGCCATTCTGACAGGTGTGAGGTGGTACCTTACTGTCGTTTTGATTTACATCTCTCAGATGATTAGTAACTTTGAGCATTTTTTCATGTCTCTTGGCCATCTTTTAAATGTTTTTGAAGTATCAATGAGATACATGAGTACATATACCATATGGACAATCGGATATGTGGAGTTCAGAAGAGAGCTCTAACCTGGAGAGAAATATTTAAGATCAGTGTGTACATAAATGGTACTTGAAGCTATGTTTGTTGATGAACTCTATTAGGATGAATATAGCAGGAGAAGAGGAACTGGCTGAGATATCCTATGTCCTTCTTTTCTTTTTTAAAACTATTTCTATTGATTTCAGAGAGGAAGGGGGAGAGAGAGAGAAAGAGAGAGAGAGAGAGAGAGAGAGAGAGAGAGATCAATGATGAGTGAGAATCATTGATTGGCTGCCTCCTGTACATCCCCTACTGAGGACTGGGCCTGCAACCTGGGCATGTGCCCTGACCGGGAATTGAATCGTGACTCCCAGTTCATAAGTTGATGCTCAACCACAGAGACATAATGCTGGGCCTTATAAGCATCCTTCTTTTCAAAAAGGAATTACAACCTTTAAAAAGATACAAGGAAATTGTTGCTCATGAGGCACAGGGGATTGGGACCTCGTGAAGCAAAGGGAAAAGGGCATAATGAAAGGGGAAAGAATCATCCTTATCAAATACTGCTGAGGGAGCAAGTCAAATAACTCAAAATTATCCTTTTATTCTTAGTGACAAAACATGAAGAGTGTGTTTTCTTCAGAAAGAAAAGCTAGTAGACTGAGGAAAAGATCAGCAGCTCTTTTGAGGCGTTTGGCTATGAATGGAGAAAAGAGTTAGGACTAAAAGTAGTTAAAGAGAATTGTGGGTTATAGAAAAGAATTCTCACTTCTTTCTCCCCAAGACAGGAGAGTCATAAGCAAGTTTCTGTTGATAGAAAGAGTCCAATAGAGTGGAAGATTGTAATATAAGAAAGAGATTTATGAAGTATTCTGGAAAAGTAGAAGGTGTCCAGGGTATGCATGGAGGAATTGAAAACTTCCCCCATTGAAACAGGAAGGAGAAATGATAGGTCCTACTACAGAAGGTTTGTCCATTTGGGGGTAGGAGTAGAGATATGGCAGACTGATATTATCTCTTCTCTCAGTGAAGTAGGAAATAAAGTTATCAGCTTCAGGTGGGAGGGAAAAAAGAAGAAGGTTGGAAATCTGAGTAGAGTAGAGAATATTTGAAATTGTCTTTGCAGAGAGTAAGAAAGGGAGCTAAGTGGAGAAATTCAGGACTATATTGAGGACCCTTGAGGTTGGGAACCAAGTATTCAGAATGGTGCTAATCTGCCAAGGAGAATTTTATACACTAACAGCAAATCATCCTTAATTTTACCTTATTTTTTGTTTGTTTTCAGCAATAAAGGAAAACTATGTGTCTTCTTTGAAATGGTGTTTTTGTGTGTTGCCTGGTTTGTAGTGCCCTCACGTGGCAGATCCACATCATTCACTTATGGTTGTTTCCATGTGGGTGCCTTTGGACAAGCTGAGAATTAAACATGTGCAATAATATATTGCTAATAATAAAAACAAGAAATCAATCATTGCTTTGACTAAAGCCAGTTGTAGATGCAAAGAAACTTCCTTTATAATTTAGTGAAATATTGGCTACTCACTGTTCTATTTTACCACAATTAAAATCATGTTGATATTTTGTTCAAGTACATAATGTGAAAATTTATAATTAAAATAAAGAGGGAGAAGGATTATGAATAGCAGCGATGTATTCTCTGGCATATTTATAATTGTGTCTAAATTTACATTGGTAAAGGTTGTTGTTTTCATAATTGCAACTGAATCCTCGTGCTTTTTATTAAATATAAAAGAAAGTAATTTCATTATCTGATTACCAAATATTTTCTTAATGAGTTTTGTTATTTTTCAGGAAACTGAAGATCATTGACTCTGTCTATAAAAGCAAAATAAGGGTAGAGTGAAACAAACTAGACATTTTTTATGAGTAATGTTATTTACAATTCAGGAAGTTAGAAAAGCAATTTATTGAGCATTTACTATATACAAACACATTAAGTGTAGTAGCTTTAACACATTTTAAATAATTAGATCTTCACAGAAATCCTGTAAAATAGTTATTTTTTCTTACTTTTATGGTGAAGTGAACCAAGGCTCAGAAAAATTAACAAGTAATTTGGCCACAGTTACAAATCGAAGAAATGCCAAAACTAATATCATCCATTTTCTCTTACTGTTCAGAATATTATAACCAATTACAGTATATTATATACTCCACTTAGAAATGATCTTATTAAAGACATTCCACTAGAGCATGGGTCCTCAAACTACGGCCCGCGGGCCACATGCAAATACAAATATTGTATTTGTTCCCGTTTTGTTTTTTTACTTCAAAATAAGATATGTGCAGTGTGCATAGGAATTTGTTCATAGTTTTTTTTAAACTATAGTCCGGCCCTCCAACGGTTTGAGGGACAGTGAACTGGCCCCCTGTTTAAAAAGTTTGAGGACCCCTGCACTAGAGTGACCCTTAGAATGGAGATACAATGCATTTAATTAATTACTTGGATTCTGAATTTTTTTGTCATTATTTACATACATGCTGATCATGCAGCAGTGGTTGAGTGAGTCGAGTCTGTCATTGAAAAAAGTTAAAATTGTTGAATTATTTGCTAATGAACCCATTGCTTTGCATTGAATCTTTTTAATTACTAAAAAGCACCAAAGTAGCCTCAAAATAGTTAATGACTTGGCTCGGCATGGCCTAGCTATGGGGTTGTTGAATGACAGAAATAGAAAGAACAAACTTCAATAATAAAAGTATAAGGTCTTAAAAGTTCTAAACTTCATGGTAGTGAAAGACATGGTAATGCATGAAAGTGAGATTTTCCATTGAACTTTGTCTTCCTTGACGATACTCTACTTTATTCAATGTGCTCATTATGTGCACCATTCTTACCAACTGTGTATTTATGACAATGAGTAATCCTCCAGACTGGACAAAGAATGTGGAGTAAGTAGAAAATTAAATCTCTCTCTCTCAATACTCTCATCCCTTTGTATTCCAAACTGTGCATTGAACAGCTTGAGACTTTAGCTTCCTTAACAAATCATACTGGCTCCTCCAATCATGTTAGTGACAATGACTCAAGTTCATTTCAAGCAATAACTTCCTCTAGGACCAAGTTTGCAGTGGTGGTTCACTCAGTAGCTCAAATTATTGAACTGGTCTGACAGCCAATATTTGTAGCCCTTTATCCTCCTTGTGAGTCTCACACTTTTGAAGATCAGTGATCACTAATATCCAATAATAAATATTATACCTATATAATTACAACTAGTTTGTATATTCATTTTCTCATGGCTATTACCTTTCTATGTTTTATTAATATATATTACATGTATCTTAATAATGCATATTTTATTAAACACCAATGCTTCATTCATTTCTTGGATTATTACCTAATTGCTTCAATCAGACCAAATGCCAGTGTATTACATAATATCTTCATACAGAATCTTATTATTTGGCTTTCAAATTGATGTAGCAAGTACAGTGTTCATTTAGTTATAATCAAAGAGAATGTCTTTCAAAATGTAATATTTTTTCCTGCCTTAAATCTTACCTACACTCTACATTTTAGGGAGACAGACATAGACCCATATAGAAGCCTCTAACTTGTGTCGTGTAAGTCCCTTTTGAGATATGTACATGTAAATCACCTACTATATCTTTAATGTGGGCTTGGCTATTTTTTCTCAGGTACACCTTTACAGGAATTTATACTTTTGAATCACTTGTAAAAATACTTGCAAGGGGCTTTTGTTTAGAAGATTTCACATTTCTACGGGACCCATGGAACTGGTTGGATTTCACAGTCATTACTTTTGCGTAAGTATTTTAGTACATTTTCCAAGCTGGAAGAATAAATCATTGATGGAAGCCTACACTGTATTTGTCCTTGGCGGCTTCCCTTGTCAGATCAAACATTTTTCATAGTTATCATGCGAATTTGGAATATTTTTCTTCCAATTAAATTATGTACTTTGGAGAAATTAAGGGCTATCATATTTAATTATATGGTTTTGGTTTCAAATAACACTGTAAAATAGTAGTTACCCAAGTAACAGAGATGATTGATGACAATGCCATTTTTCTCTTAATTGGGAAATCTAATGGCAACACTCATTGAAGTTGAAAAGGTCTTGATGTGAGACCAACATAGACTTAGATTTCCCTAAATTCTGAATAACTCTGATTTAATTCTACAGGTATATAACAGAATTTGTAAACCTAGGCAATGTTTCAGCTCTTCGAACTTTCAGAGTCTTGAGAGCTTTGAAAACTATTTCTGTAATCCCAGGTAAGAAGAAACTGGTATAAGGTGGTAGGCCCCTTATATCTCCAACTGTTTCTTGTGTTTTGTCATTGTGTTTGTGTGTGAACTCCCTACTGCAGATATGTGACAGAGTTTGTGGACCTGGGTAATGTCTCAGCGTTGAGAACATTCAGAGTTCTCCGAGCATTGAAAACAATTTCAGTCATTCCAGGTGAGAGCTGGGTTAAACACCGAGGCTGAGTTTAGCTGCATTGGTGCGTTGGCTGAGTTTAGCTGCATTTGTGCATAAGCCTTATTGCTTGTCACCTATTGCAAATACTGGTAAATCTGTAATAAAGCAAGAATCGCACATCATATTTTGGATGGACGTGATTCTTTGCTTTTACTAGTTGCTTTCTTTAAAACTGTTCTAAATCAGCCTTTGAGTTTAACAAGTTTTTGCATGAGGCATTTGCAGTAACAGGCTACATGGTCTGCATCCTATAGCATCAAGCTTTCCGCATAGAAGCTAAACTATGAGAAATTCGAACTGATGCAAATTGAACCACTTAGGTCAAAAACTTACCTGCAGGCAAATGAAAGAGCAAGGGATAGCATGAGTGTTGCATGAGGCTGTTTTCAGATGTCTTCCTTTTTTAACCCATACTCAAGCTTATAGAATTCGCAAAAATATAACCTCATAATTCAGTCATTTAAAGGTTTATTACTACTCTATTCATATAGATTTTTTTTTCAAAAATCACTAAGAGGTAAGGGAGTAAGACATCTGCAAATAAAAGCAAACTATTTACACAAGGTTAATGTTTAAGCATGAATAGCAAAATCATTTTTCTGCTCTAAGGAGTGTTTGGAAATACACTTTGGTTCATTTCCATTCAGTTTTCTAATGAACATACAAGTTCTGCTTCCATTCATTTTCACCAGCTAGCAGGCTTTTCATGAAAATGTTATTCAATCACAAACATTAAAGTAATATTCTTGGCATTCTGCATGACATCTTTATTTTCCAGGACAAGCTCATGATGTTTTTGTCAGTCAAGTAGCTGTTAAATAGTACATTTAAATTTCCCCCTCTGATCTTATTTGCAGGCCTGAAGACCATCGTCGGGGCCCTGATCCAGTCTGTGAAGAAGCTCTCTGACGTCATGATCCTGACTGTGTTCTGTCTGAGCGTGTTTGCACTAATAGGACTACAGCTGTTTATGGGCAACCTGCGGAATAAATGCTTGCAATGGCCCCCAGATAATTCTTCCTTTGAAATAAACATCACTTCCTTCTTTAATTATTCATTGGATGGGAATGGTACCGCTTTCAATAGGACAGTGAGCACCTTTAATTGGGATGACTATATTGAGGATGAAAGTAAGCTATACTCTTTTATCCATGAAGTTGTTTAGTCATTTATTTATTAAAAAATACACATAGTGGAAATGGCCTCAATTTTTATGTGAACCAAATGACCAGATCAATAGGTACGTGTGAGGCAGAAATTAGATATCTTTTTTCTTATCTGTCAATCAACATGGTAAAAGTTATCATTTGAATGTGTGTTATCTTTTCCTAAATCAGTGTTGAAAGCAATACCACATTAAGCTGTGTTTATTTGGTAGGCATGGGTCAGAGGTTTTTAATCATCTTAAATAAATGAGTAGTTTGAATTAATGCTGAAATATAATTTCTTACCATTGAAACCACCCCTTCCATCATTTGGTTTTCAAGTCTCATCCTCTCCATGTACAATTAGCTAAACAATTTCCATTGATCCCTTGATTATTAAAACTCCTAATTCTAAAACCTTTATGGCTTTTAGAACCATATGAAATGTTATCCCTTCTCACACTATATTAATATTTTAACATTAATAATATATTAATAATATTTTAATGTTCTTACAAAGATTATAATGGGGAGATTAAGATTCATTGGATAAATGAATAAATAAAACAAATTACTTTATTATTTGTGAGGTTTTCCATTTATTGATATAATAATAGCACAATGATAATCTTTGCACATAAATATTTCCTCTATCTCTAATTGTTTCCTTCAGGTGGATTTTCATTAATGGAATATTTTTGGTTCAAGAATACGACCAGATTAAGGTTATGGAGACATTGTCAAATTGCTCTTCAGAGAGATCAGACCACTCACTAATATTGTTATAACCATATTTAAAATCTTTTGATAGAAGGAAAAGTGTATCTTCTTGTTCCTAACTATTTATGCAGTAGAATTTAAAAGATATGTTTATTAGTATCATTAGTAAGTTACACATATTTTATATAATGTGAATTATCTTTTGATATTTTTACCCATTATTCCATCAGGTGATAGTATATTTACAAAATTCATATGAACTCTTACTTTATCAAGAATATTAACATTTTTGGCAAATATATTATCCAGCTTCTTTTTCATCTTATTACTTGTTTTTGATGCCCAAGGGATTATGATTTTTTTGGCAACAGTGCCATTAAATTTTTAAATCCTTTTCTATATTTTAGTTTAGAAAAAAATTTTGATTTAGAGATAATAAAAATTCACTTAGGTAGTCTACATGTAAAGCAGCCACCTCCATATTCTACATTAAAAAACTCTATATGTCCTTTATATCAGATTAATGGACTTGTTTATAAATCTTTAATCTTTAGAAATCTAAAATTCGTTTTTAATATATGTTGTGAAGTAAGGATTAAGACTTTTTTGTTTTGTTTTGTTTGCAAAACAGTGACCCATATTTTCCTGCATAATATATTAGGATATTTCTTGAATACAGACTAAGTATTCCTAAAAACAATCATAAGTTTTTGTTAGGTATTTGTGTATGTGTGTGTGTTTTAATGTGTGCATGTGTGTGTTTATATGTAAATATATAGATACTGCTGTTTATGTATGTGTATGTTTTCTGAGATCATCTTTGCAATTTATTAAAGTTATATGTAAGGTATTCCATAAGAATAAGAGCTAGATATATTTAGAAAATGTATATCTTCAGAGAAAGAAGTTTATTTTGGTCATTTGAAAGATAGTAATCAAGCCAAAATACAAAGTAAAACACTTATTTACAGTATCATAGAAAGAGCAAATTTCTAAGCCCACTTTTAAAAGGAAATTAACTTAAAAATGGGTGGGAGAAAAATGTCTGTATCTATTTGGAGTCCAGACAAAACGTATTTGTAAAGTAAAATTTTATTTGCATGAAAACATTTAGAAGCAACAAAGCTTACCTCTCTCTCTCCCTCCCCCCTCCTCTTTTTTTTTTTTTTTTTTGCCAAGAACACAGCCTTAATTTGGCAGCTCTTTTTGAAGTACCTCAAATAATTTGGGTTTATATTTAGAGTAAATTCTGATATGAGAATGTTAGCATAATTATTCCTTGCAAATTTTTTTAAAACAGATTTTTTAACATTTGTTTAATTTACAATGTTATATTTTGATATATTTTAGTATTCAATTATTATTAAAATATTTTCATTGTCATATAATATTTATTATTTTATTTATTTTGTTATAGTTGAAACATTGTAAGTTTTATTATCTAGGCAGAATGACAGAAATGCTTTGAGGGCTTTTTAATGATTCTTTCTATTCCTCACTCTTTAAATAGGTCACTTTTATTTCTTGGAAGGGCAAAATGATGCTCTGCTTTGTGGCAACAGCTCAGATGCAGGGTAAGTGATATTTCATATTGAGTTTCAGTCCACCTGCTCTATCCACCTCAATAATCTGCCACCTCCCACCCACCTTGCCCCTGTTTTCTCCTCATTCAAAACTCTCCATAAATTCAACTTCACGCTGACTCTCAAAATAGCTGGGATAAGTGTAGATTCTCACTTCTTTCACACACTCATATGCAGAAATTATTTTTCCATACTAGATAGCAGGTGATCTTCCAAATTAGTTTGATGAAAAATAGAAGAGCAGATAATAGAAGCTTACGTTAATAGAATTTATAAGTATGTACTTTTATAAGTGTGATATTTTATCTACTATGCTAATATGGTCTCCATGACTTAAAGGGTACAATATCTGAAGATAAAGTCATTACCTGAGGCATGGTGAGTGTATGTCCCAGATTATTTTAGCAAAGTGGTTAAGAGCATAGACTGGAGAGTTTGCATGGATTCAAACCCTGACTCTAACATATAAAGGCATTTCTCTTTGCCTTATAGTTTCCTTAGGTAATAAAGGGGTATAATAGGAGGGTGACTGTAAAAAATTAAATGGGTTAGTGAATGTACAGCTACTATCGCACTCAATAAGAACTTTTCATTGTTCTCTCTATGGAACGTGATATTGTAGACATTAGTAACTGATACCTGTAGCAAAATTCTCAATGGTTGCAGGCTTTGCATTTGACTCATATGATAAAGATTGCACTGCCTTTATTTTCAGATCCCAGGGATCAGTAAAACAGACTGCCTTTAATTCCTTGTCTGTACTGTACGGAATGCTATACATACAATATCCTATTCAATGCCTGTCCATTTGTAAGGCAGGTTCTGTCATTAGGCCCTTCTTACATATGAAGTGTCCAAAGCTGAGCCAGGTTAGGAAACCTGCCCCAGGTCATGTAGCCCAGAAACATCAGGCACAATGAAGCGCCCAGGTCAGCTTGATCATCAAGGTCATGTGAGTCATACGACATCTTCACTATGCAGAACCACTTCCTCCTTTCAACCTCTCCCCACCAACCTTTCCTTCACCCCTTTTCTCACACACACATTTCTGCCTCTAGATATTTTCAGTGAGTGTTTATTTTTTCTCTGTAGACTTATTTTTCTGTTTATGTCCACAAGTCCCCAGAGACTTAATCATAACATGACTGCCTTTATAAATGGAGATGTGATAAATATAACAATGGCAATGGTGAATCACATAGGAATTCACAAATAAACTTAGCAGATTCTGTTATTATGTAAATCAGTCCAAGGGTGCTGAGTTAAGTGCTGGGTAAAGTGAGAGAAATCTGCTTTCCTCGCTGTTGTATAAAATAGTCATTGGCATCTGTCCATCCAGAAAGACAGCCAGCAGATTTGCAGCTACTGACTTCCTCTCTTCGCTTGAACCTAATTTCAGCCAGTGCCCAGAAGGATACATCTGTGTGAAGGCTGGTCGCAACCCCAACTATGGCTACACGAGCTTTGACACCTTTAGCTGGGCCTTCCTGTCCTTATTTCGTCTTATGACACAAGACTTCTGGGAAAACCTTTATCAACTGGTGAGGACAGAAAAAAACGAATCTTCTGAGAAGCATGAAATACTGAGATCAGAACTGCTGTAGAATACTTTATTACGTACAGTGTGAGCTCATAACATCCCATCTCATTTTTAATAAAATATCTCTTCCATTTTGTAGACACTGCGTGCTGCTGGGAAAACATACATGATCTTTTTTGTGTTGGTCATTTTCTTGGGCTCCTTCTACCTGATAAATTTGATCCTGGCTGTGGTGGCCATGGCCTATGAGGAACAGAATCAGGCCACCATGGAAGAGGCAGAGCAGAAAGAGGCTGAATTTCAGCAGATGCTTGAACAGCTAAGAAAACAACAAGAAGAAGCTCAGGTATAGTTAGCAAACATTGAGCTCTTTTGTGTTTGTTAATCTCAATTCTCTATCCCAACCAGTGAAGTCAAGTGGCATGAAGTGAAGAGAAACAAAATCAGCAGTGGTTACATTGATATTTGAAACATGTCATGTGTGCTTAGTAAGTGCTAGAAGCCTGTTTGGTTATTAGAAGATTATTATTTTATTTTGAAAATTACTGTCAATACTAATGGCATCAAAACATGGAGATTTATAGTTGCTTTATTGACATTTTTCTCTCCCTTATGACCTCTCATTTGTTCAAACTCACTAAGTAATTAGACTAACATGCCTTCAATCAAAGTCTTTCCTTAAGCTTCTGAAGAGGAATTCAGTTATAGCTGCTTCTTCATTCGTGTCACTAAACATGGGAAAGGTCAGGAAACCAGAGTCAAACTGGGAAGATTATTTTCTAGAGTCTGGAAAGACAGATACCTATTTAATATTTATTTTCCATTTGAAGAGTATTTAAATGCAAGTTTGTGGACTGCATAAGGGAAACACTGCTGTGTGAACATAGTAAATCACTACATCCTCTGCCTTCTCCCCGTAAATCCTTTAATTTGTACTTGATGAAGCTTCCAAACAAGGCAAGAATTTCCCTAATTATATTTGCTTGACTTAATGACATAAACTAATTTAATTGCCTATTTTTGGCTTTTCTTGGATCTTTAGTATAGTTCTCTTTTAACACTGAATACAGAATAAAGGTGAGATAAATAAAAACATACTGGGGTAGCAGCAACAACAATGAACATTGTATCTTTCCAGAAACTGTGCTATTGTAATTTATAAATTCATTCAGATGACATGATCTGGGATTTCCTTGTATGTAATCTGTAATATGTTTTTGTTGTGCATTTCTTAGTGCAATACTTAATTTAAGTCAAAGAGGGGAGGAGTTCATTAAAATAAAACAATACAATACTTGACTGAATTAAATTCAGTGTTTTAGACTGGCATTAAAAGTCGTTGTCAAACGAAAGTGTGATGGATCAGGTTAAAACAGGAAACTTTAATTCTTAAAATCGTTGCTTCTTAAGATACTATTTAAATCAGAGGAAATATTGTTATGGCATTCACGTGTCTTCTTCATATTATTAGAGAATCAGAAAGTATAGTATGAGGTTCTCATCAGTCACATGTTTCATCTTCCACGGGTCTGTTCATTTTAATTCTTTAATTGGTTTAATGGCAATATATTATTTTCCAAAATATGTACCAGAATGATACGAAAGGTAAGTTAAACAGTAACATGGAGAGATTTTCCCCAAAGTCTGTATGCAACTAACATGTACTCTGTGCCCTTCTAGGCAGCAGCTGCAGCAACATCTGCTGAATCCAGAGACTTCAGTGGAGCAGGCGGGTTAGGAGTTTTCTCAGAGAGTTCTTCAGTAGCATCCAAGTTGAGCTCCAAGAGTGAAAAAGAGCTGAAAAACAGAAGGAAGAAAAAGAAGCAGAAAGAACAGTCTGGAGAAGAAGAGAAGGAAGACAGAGTCTGCAAGTCTGAATCTGAAGACAGCATTAGAAGAAAAGGCTTCCGTTTTTCCTTAGAAGGAAGCAGGCTGACATACGAAAAGAGGTTTTCTTCTCCACACCAGGTAAAAATGTGAGAGGACATAAACTGCATTTTCATTACAAACAATCTTGTAAAGATATGCCAGGGTTTGGCAGAGATAAAACTGCCTCCCCCACTTCCCCCCCTTGGATAGCACAATGCTTTCAGAATGGTCATGATCCTCAAGTGCTGTGATTATGACCTCAGACAACTTGTGAATTTTATAACTGTTGATATAAGAAACGTTCAAACCAGCAGAGAATTTTTTTTATAAGAGTTTATTTGAGCCAAACTGAGGACACATGGGGGGAAGCAAGATCTCACATGCTCCCGAGAATAACAGTTTTGCAATTTCTCTTATGCATTTGAATTAAAGAGGGAATGTAAGGAAGATCACATGAAGGTGGGAGAAAGCAAGGTGGGGGATCAGATTATTGGGAAGAGGGGGCCGAAGGGAGCCATTTCAAAAGTGTGTTAACCTAAATGCACAGAAACAATGCACGGGGCTTGCTTAAGGCAAAGACACACCTTTTATCAAAGCAGTTATTTCCATGGGGTGTGACTACGCACCATGACCTGCCCTGTTAGGAATTTATGACCAGACCGTCCTGTGAGATTCCTTTCCATAGAGTTCCTTTTTCTTCCACAAAAATTTTGGATCCCAGGAAAGCATTTTTAGAGCATAGATTCCACTGGGCATGAGAAGGCTTGTAGTTTGAGGTTTCATTAGAGACTCAAACATCTTGTGGCAACTTTCCACATGAGGAATTATCAGCAGATGTTTCCCAATCTCTTCTTAGCTACTGGGCCTGAGCTCAATGAAACGTGGGTTTTCTGAGTGGAAGGTTCCCAGTGGTGAATTGGGGACTCTCTCAGACCATCTGTGCAGTTGTTTGCATCCACGTGCAAACTTCATTTGAAGAGTGGATTTTTTTTTCCAGTTACAGTTCACATACAATATTATATTAATTTCAGGTATACAACCCTGTGATTAGGCATTTATATAACTTAGAAACCAGTCACCTGATAAAAAAATCTAGTACCCATCTGACACCATATATATTTATTGTAAAATTACTGACTATATTCTTTATTCTGAACTTTACATTCCCGTAACTATTCTGTAATTACCAATCTGTACCTCTTAATCCCTTGCCCTTTTCCACCCATCCTCTCAATCCCCATCCTTTCTGGCAACCGTCAAAATGTTCTCTATACCTATGAGTCTGTTTTTGTTCTGCTTTTTCATGTATTTTGCTTTTTAGATCCCGCATGTCAGTGAAATAACCTGGCATTTTGTCTTCCTCCTTTCTGCAAATTTTGCTCACAGATATAACATTTTTCAGTACTGTCTTCTCCATATCTCAGTCCAGGTTCTTCCAATATAGTGGCAAGATGCTTCCTGCAGCTCTACACGTATAATCAATACTAGAGGCCTGATGCACAAAATTCGTGCAAGGGACTCGGCCCTCGCAGCCCCGGCTTTGTCCGGAAGGACGTTCTGGAAGGTCATTCGGCTGTCTGGTCTAATTAGCATATTATGCTTTTGTTATTATAGATTTTTACCAACCCTAATTTAAAATGCACCTCTTGCCCAACAATTATAACAGAAAGAGGTGGCTGTCAATGGACCATCTTTAATCCATTCTCTACGTCCGGGGGTACAGAATATACCCATTGGCTATGCCTAAGTTATGGTATTTCCTGAGGCTTATTTTCAAGGATAATCAGAATACTGACAACAGAAGAAGAAGAAATAGATATTGGACAAGCAAAAATAAATGTTCACTACAAGAAAATTATAAAAGTACACTAGAAATAAACAGGAAGTGATTCATTGCACTCAATGCTGCTGAGCTAAAGAATCAAGGTAAACTGCACAATGGCAGAGACAATGTAGGCACTCAGAAAATTGTTAAATGACTGTGACCAGATACCTAGTGAAAACCAGGTTTTTGTAAATATGGTGCTCTTCAGCTTTCTTAAGAAGAGCAAAAATCAGGGAATGAGTCATACAGTTCTTTCAGCTTGATTTGTTTAATCTTATTCATGAAGACATTATAAAATATGCAAAGAGCAGGGAAGAAGCATCTCCTTGTGCTATAATTACACAGACCTACTAACATGAATTTTATTTTCCTCTGTGGTAAGAGCTGCATCAGGGTGTGGCACTAATGAGCCCTTATTCTTGGCTTTGAAGGATCTAAAAGTAGGTGTGTATTTAGTTGCTTTCCATTGGATTATTAAATCAGATGAGCTTCTAGAGCAGTGGTTCTCAACCTTCTGGCCCTTTAAATACAGTTCCTCATGTTGTGACCCAACCATAAAATTATTTTCGTTGCTACTTCATAACTGTAATGTTGCTACTGTTATGAATCGTAATGTAAATATCTGATACGCAGGATGGTCTTAGGCGACTCTTGTGAAAGGGTCGTTCGACCGCCAAAGGGGTCTCGCCTCACAGATTGAGAACCGCTGTTCTAGAGAGAAGTCTAGCAAAAATTTCACTTTTGGGTGCCAATTTTGGTACTCAACAATGTTGAGGGGTACTTGTGACTATCTTAAGGCATGGATAAAGTAAAAAAAAAAAAATGGCAGAAAATGAAAAAGGAAGGAAGGGAGAAAAGGGAAAGAAAAATTAAAGAGGCGAACCTTATAGAGAGTTCCAGACCCCCAGCAATTACGGCAGGAGCCTTTGGTTCCCCCTGTCTAAGGACTTATCTGTATGTAGGTCAACAATTCTGAAACAAGGAACCCAGTCTCATATTGCTCAGTCTCATATTTACTTCTGTTCATCTGTTTTCTGTTTCCCCTCTTGTTGTCCATAGTCTTTACTGAGCATCCGTGGCTCCCTTTTCTCTCCAAGACGCAACAGCAGAGCAAGCCTTTTCAGCTTCAGAGGCCGAGCAAAGGATATTGGCTCCGAGAATGACTTTGCTGATGACGAGCACAGCACGTTTGAAGACAACGACAGCAGAAGGGACTCTCTGTTTGTACCGCACAGACATGGAGAGCGGCGCCATAGCAACGTCAGCCAGGCCAGCCGTGCCTCCAGGGTGCTCCCCATTCTGCCCATGAATGGGAAGATGCACAGCGCAGTTGATTGCAACGGAGTGGTCTCTCTAGTGGGGGGCCCTTCAGCTCTCACGTCTCCGGCTGGACAACTCCTGCCAGAGGTGAGGCCCATTAAAACGCATCTGTTGGGAAGGGAGTAGGCTGGAGTATTTCGACACACACACACACACACACACACACACACACACACACACATACATACATATATATATAGAGAGAGAGATAGATATATAGATATAGATATAGATATAGATATAGATATAGATATAGATATAGATATAGATATAGATATAGATATAGATATAGATATAGATATTTGATTTCAGAGAGGAAAGGAGAGGGACAGAGCGATAGAAACATCAATGATGAGAGAGAATCATTGATCGGCTGCCTCCTGCATGCCCCACACTGGGGACTGAGCCCTGACCAGGAATCGAACTGTGACTTCCTGAATCATAGGTTGATGCTCAACCACTGAGCTACTCCAGCCAGGCCTGAGTCTGTATTTCAAAGGCCTAGGGAAAAGAGTTTCAGTTAAATACCAGACATTTATAGGGGTATGTTATTGACATTTCCTTTGTAAAACATAACTTTGTTATTAAATAAGATTTCATTTGCCAATATAAAAATATTCTAGCAATGTAATGTCATTTGATTGTATTTTATAGTTTTGCTGAATTACATTAAAATCTTTGCATTATTAATTTTTACACAATCCCATTTATTATAGTTAGACAAGCTCTTTAGACTTGAGATCTTATGGAGTGAGCTTTCAGTCACCTAAGAGAGGAGCTTCTTACCTTGCATTATAGAAATAGCCATTGATCTTCTTCACTTTTTTCCTCATGGCCTCTTTCCACCACTTTCTCGGTGAGAAATGTCCAAGTATCCTGGAGTCAAGTCAAATCATGAAAAAGTAGAACTTTGTACTGAAGGAACCAGGAAGAATTCAAACTTCCCTTTAAAAATAATCATGGCTAACTATATGCCAGACACTGTCCAGAACACTTCACATGTGCTAATTCCTTTAATCCTCACAAAAAGCCTTTATATAGTTACTAATATGTTCCCCATTTTACAGAGGATGAAATTGAGGCCTGTGTACAGTGGAGCTAAGATTTTACCCCAGGTATGCTGGCTACTGAACGGACTTTGTATCCATATTGAAATATTGCCTCCCATTGAATACTTTTAACTTTCTTAAATGGAAAAGAAGAGGTGGAGAAGGAAACAGTTTCATTTTAACCCAGTATCTCTCAAAATATACTTCACCCTCAAACTACTTATATCAGAATTCCTGAGATGCTTCTTAAAAATGGAGATTTCTCATTTCCCCTCCCCCACACCTGGCAACCACCATTCTCCTCTCTGCTTCTATGAGTCTGATGGTCAAAGGGTACAGAAATTCAGTTTTGTAAGATAAATAAGTTCTGGACATCTAGTATATAGCATGGTGCCTAGAATTAACAATCCTATATTGTACACTGAAATTTTGCTAAAAGTATGATCTAATGGTGTGTGTGTGTGTTTACCACAAAAAACAAACAAACAAACAAACAAACAAACAAAGACAACAACAATAAAGACAGTGGGAGAAAACTTTGGAAAGTGATGGAAATGATTATGGCCTTTATGGTGGTGATAGTTCAGGTTGTATACTATCCCTAAACTCATCAAGTTGTATACATTCAATATATACAGCTTTTTACATTTCCATTGGTCTTCAATAAAGTGGTTTAAAGAAAAAAAAAAAAAAAAGGAGATCCCTGAGTTAATCCAGACTTATTCAGACCAAAACATTGAGGAGAACAAGGTCAGGGAATCTTCTCCCTTGAAAAGCATCCACATGGTTTTTACACACAATAAGATATGAGTATCACTGATCTTGTTAATTGAGGCAACAAAAACAAGTGCACAGCTTTACTGCATACATGCACAGAAAGTGTCAGTCTGTCAGAACATAGCCTTTATCAGCAATGCACCATAAAACTCCTGTCCTGTCAGAAAGGATGGACTAAATCTCTGAAGGCAAATTGCGGCCAGTTGGAAACAAAGCCTAGTGTGATCCCTTTTTTTCCAGTTCCCTCATGTCCATTCTTCAATCCCACAGTCAGTCAGTGTCTGAGAGGCAAGGCACTGTGGTGCAGCCTGAGCTGAAGGTGCAGACCAAAGAACTTGGCTTTGAGAGGCTGCAAAGAGGAAATGAGGATAGAACATAAACAGCTGCAGGCAAATGACACCCTCCAGAGCACACAATATCTTGAAATTTACACATAAATTCAACATAAACAATTTAACTTAAAGAATTCCCTCAGTAATATCATTAGAAGTGTTGGAATCCATCGTTAAAAATTAGACAAATGTAGGATTATTGCACAATATAGTTCTGTATAGAGAAGAAGGAACTATATGACCTTTACGCAACACTATTTTTTTTTCTTTAAAAATTTTGCCTTTCTCTGACCAGGCAAAATATTTTAAATTTTGAGTGGCAACATTTTGATTTAAAGAGCTTTCGTTTCAGAGAGGGGTTATTTCTTTTCTCATTCATTTCACTCCCCTTTGGCTGTAAAATTAATTGAATGGTGACCTGCATGGACATTTATCACCATCATGTCAACTGTATCAATTGAGTAGAAACTTTGTTTTTGAATATATATGTATTAGACATGTGTATGTTGATAAAAAATAATGTTACTCATATCCCAATAAGGTCAAAGTAGATGAACATGACTTATATTGTTATTTTAGAAATAAGGGAAATTTTTAGAGAACTAAAAGTGATTTTTTATTTATTATTGGCATTCAGACCTGCATTTAAAATGCTTGTTTTACCTTTTTTTCTTTGATACTTAACTTCATTTTTTGGTCTTCTAAAGTAGGAATAAATTTCTGTCCATGTTGAAATTTTGGTGAGCTTATTTTGTAATAGAAAAGTACCAAATTATCATACCATTCTTAGAAATCAAAGACATTCCCCTCCCCAATTGGTGTTACTGCCTTAAACTACAGTTTCAATGCCAAGAATGTGGTATTTTGTGGATGGAATCTTTTTTGTAAATGTAAAAATGTTACAGATTAGTTCTAATAGTTAGCTTTATTATTAAGGATGTTGGAAAATATTATATATAATAATAAAAGTGTGACATGCTAATAAGACCGGACGTCCTTCTGGATGACCTTCTGGATGAAGCCGGGGCTGTGAGGGAAGCCTGGGTCCCAGGTGCCCAAGGGAAGCCAGTGACAGCAGCTGGGGGAAGAAAGGCCTACTCTTGCATGAATTTCATGCATCAGGCCTCTAGTCTGTTTATAATTAACACTAGAAGCCCAGTGCACAAAATTCATGCACTTGGGGGGGGTCGCTCAGCCCAGCCTGTGACCTCTTGCAGTCTCGGAGCCCTCAGGGGATGTCCGACTGATGGCTTAGGCCCACTGTTGGACATTTTTAGAGCTGCTGTGGAGGCGGGAGAGGCTCCTGCCACTGCCGCTGCACTCACCAGCCATGAGCCCAGCTTGTGGCTGAGCGGCGTTCCCTTTGTGGGAGTGCAATGACCATCAGGGGGCAGCTCCTGCATTGAACATCTGTCCCCTGGTGGTCAGTGTGCATCATAGTGACTGGTTGTTTCACTGTTTGGTCGATTTGCATATTAGCCTTTTATTATATAGGATAAGCATTTTACAGTGAAATTCACATTTTTAAAAAATATATTTTATTGATTTTTCACAGAGAGAAAGGGAGTGGGATAGAGAGTTAGAAACATTGATGAGAGAGAAACATCGGTCAGCTGCCTCCTGCACACTCCCCACTGGGGATGTGCCCGCAACCAAGTTACATGCCCTTGGCCGGAATTGAACCTGGGATCCTTGAGTCCACAGGCCGACGCTCTATCCACTGAGCCAAACCGGTTAGGGCTGGAATTCACATTTTAAGGAAACTATTATTGATACATATTAGGGAAACTTAAAAATTCTTTTTTTACATCACATGAATATATGTCTATAAAGATCTAATAACTCAATCTGAGAGTAATTCAAGGAACCATATGTTTCAGTCTGAAGTTCTAGGTGGAATTAAATACGAAAAAGGTATCTATCCAATTGTATGCATGGTTCCAAAATGGGGGAATTAGAAATGTCCATTTTGATAACAAACCCAGGCATTCCTTAAAACTGAGACTCTGATGGGCTTTCAAACACTTCCCAGGAATGGTGATTCAGCAATGTCTTAATGAGCTGTTCACATCTGAGAAAGCATGGTGAATAGTTAGTTAGGTAGCAAAAGTGATGGGAATGCTTTTAATTTTGCTGCCCTTAAGAATAATAATTTCATCTAAAATTATATTTTTAGGGGACAACTACTGAAACAGAAATAAGGAAGAGACGGTCCAGTTCTTATCACGTTTCCATGGATTTTTTGGAAGATCCTACAGCAAGGCAAAGAGCAATGAGTTTAGCAAGTATTTTGACCAACACCATGGAAGGTATGTCAAAGGTCCTACAGCATAGCTACTTGGTGGTGCTTTGCTAATGATGAAAAAAAAAAAATAAGTCCATAAATTCCAAGATAATTCTTTCTGACTTAATATCACATCATCATTATGTCTTTTTCTATACATATATTCTTCCATCCATTATAGATTTTTATATTTAGCCTCCAGGAAGCTACTGCAAACTCAAGGTATACTTGGAATACTACTTTCATAGAATAAATACTGAATCATTGAAATGTATTGTGCACATGACACTGAAAGGAGTGTAATGATAAATGCTTATTTTTAGAATGATGCTAATCCATTTGAAATGCATTAACTGCTTGAGAAACAGGTTATAAAATCCTCTGATTTAACCAGAAATGTAAATGAAAACTGTAAATCAGGGTTTGATATGAATCCCTTTGAAGCAAAGTTTTTAAATTTTTATAAATCTACTTTTGCCTCTCTCTGACCAGAGTACTATATTAGCCTTCTCTGCAGATTATGTCTGAGTAGTTAACATATTGTTTAGAAATCTGGTTCTGATGACGCCAAAGTAAAGATTTTGGGGACAACTTGATCTGTGACCAGTTCTTGGTTCTGCCATGTATTAAGTGTGTTAGCTTATGACTCTAAACTTTAGTTTCTTCATCAATAGAATGTGGATAACTATGTTTAGGCATAAGGTTGTTATAAGGATTAAGTGGGGCATCATATATGAAGCACCTATGTACCTGGCATGTAGAAGTCAGTCAATAAATATTATTATTATTCATTGTTTTGTTTTTGTTGTTTTTGTTCATTTACAAGTTTGTGCCTTTCTATACTGTAAGTGAACTGCAATATCTACTTCAAGTATTTGGAAAATACTTTCATATAAAATATATTCTATCCTCTTCCCTTATCCCCCTTTCCCCTTTTCTCCTTTTCTCTTTTATAATCCAGCCCTTTCCACCCTCCCCAGATATGTGTGTGTGTGTGTGTGTGTGTGTGTGTGTGTGTGTGTGTGTGTGTAGATGTGTCAAAGGAAAAAACAGATAAAGAATGAGAGAAGAATGAGAGAGGGAGGGAAAAGAGCACACATTGTGCACATGACTTTATCTTTAGTTATAGTTTCACTTATTATTCAATAGGCTCTTGGAATAAGTACTTTTCCTTCTGAATGGAAAAACCCCATGATACTCACAGCAGTACCAAAACCCTAAAAGTCACGGCCAGAAGAAACTCAGAGTGCAGATGGCAATTTAGATCACAGACATGTCAGCATTACAACACCCAATTTTCGTAATGTCCTAATGCAGTATCAGAAATCTTTTCACTGATTTCCATGGAATATTAAACTCAGTCCATTCTCCCCCAACCTCACCTGCGTTAGCTTGCACTCCCTCTTCTCCCCCAGCTGCCAGTAGCTTGCTCCTCCCTGTCCCTCCAGGTAAATCTTTTGAAGATTCTCTGGTCTTCTGCTCCTTGCCATAGCAAAACCACTGAGAGGAAGCTGCCAGTGGTTCTGCTACCGATGTCAGCAGTATGTCTGCTCCCTAAAGCAAGAAGCAGAGAAGGAGACAGGGTAAGTCTAAACCGACAGTCCTACTTTGCACTTCTGATAGCATTAAGTTTGAGCCGACGTAAGAAATTACTTAGGAAACATCAACCCACCACAAGACCGAACTTGTCCACGAATTCAGATACAGGGTTCAAAATTAGTGCACCCAGATCACCCTCCATGGGAATGTGTCTCAGAGGGTCACTTAGGGGGAAGGATGTCCTGGAACTAAGTGTAACTGAGGAAGCAGGACAAGGAGGGTTTGGTTTTAGTGTCTGCAGAGCTTTTGGCTTTATGGTGTTTTCTTGTGAAAGACAATGTCTAAGTTTTATTCGTTTTTCGTTGGCTGTATAGGATAAAAAGCTTACATTTTATTCAATGATTTCTAAACACCTTGAATGCGGCATTGATCCAAGCTTGTTGTTAGCAATCCTTAGCATGCATATGTATACCAGAGCTGTCTTTTCTATATAGCCTCTTTTTTGTTGTTCCTAATAATGGAGGGAAGGTTTCTTAGGTGGACATAATCTGTTTATTTCTTGCTCTTGTCTTCTAAGTCTAATTATGATTTAGTTTACTTTCCCTTTTTATGAAGCAGCTTGTTGATTGGGCTGGCAACTTTTGTTTTCCTTCTTTTGAATTACAGCCAAGTCTCCATTGTCCAGGGTAATGAATAGCTAATCAGTTCATGAAACTATAGGAGATGAGCAAAAATGAATTGCCTTTCCACTTTTTCAAAATCCCAAGCCATATAGAAATGTCTCCTGGTCACAGCCTTGGGAGGGATAGTGGGAGGGTGAGTTAGGAGTACCTGAGGAATTGAGCAGAAGTCTCAGCTGGGCTGTCGATGATTCTCAGTGTGCATAACTCACACAGGAATAATGGAGAGATGGTTGTAGTTCTCTCCTGAGTGCTTTGTTGTTTCGAAATAGAAAACTCTCCCTTTTTTGGCATGAATAATTGGACAATTTTACTTTAGAACTTAACAGCTTTGCTACACTTTTTCCTGGAGTCGAGATGAATAATACCGGCTGAATTTCCACTTTTGAACTTGTCTCTGATTTATTTCTTTTTTTTTTTTCTGCACAATTACTGTTGCTTCTGTTTATCTAATAAATGACAGGTAGCATTTAAAAAAATTTGCTCTGACTTGCTCTGACTGTACACAAAGAGATTTCTTTGTTTCTCTTTTGTGATTTACTGTAAATGATAATATATTTCAATCTCCAGCATAACCATAAGGTTATTTGGGAATCTTAAAAATGGCCACAAAATAGTGTATGATAATTACATTTATATTTTTCCTCTGATTTACAACTCAGCTATTCTTTATTGCTTACAAAATTGCATGTTAAAAGAAATATAAACAAACTGTGCACTGGAAGAATTTCAATACCTAAAAAGACAGTTGAAGAATCCACTGCTAATGGAATTCTGTTAAAAAAAACACACCAGGAAATTAATTTATTTTAGGGAAGTGGTAAACTTTATAGCATTGGTTAGTAGTGAATGTTTATCAGCAGGACAAAAATCATTACCTGTGGTTGTGATTGTTTATTTCATGTGCTGTTTCTTCCCTTACAAAGTTTAGTTCCTAATAAACTATACCAAGTTTAGAGGGATATTTCAGTTGCCACAGTAGTAATACCGAAGTGTCTTACCAGTGTCAATGATGCCACAAATGAAAAAAGAATCTTTCTCGCTACTAAGAAGTGATGGTCTCATTTAATAGAGCAGGTCGTAGGGTATGCGACAGTGATTTTGTCAGAAAACAAGTTCTGCATGCTGTTTCCACGGAAGAGTTGATTAAGAGATCATCCTACCAAAGGAAGAGAATAGATCATTTCCCACTTCTAATTTTCTAAAATTATTTTCCAATATTTACCAAGTTTCAGTATTGTGAGTATCATCTTAAAGACCTGTGCATTTCTGAACTCTTTTTCCCATTATTTAGTTAAAGTCCTTTTTGAAAAGAAAGTACTTAAAAATAAACATATTTTAACATGAAATTTTATATCATAGGTTTGTATAATAGTTATACATTTTAACATAAAAACTATATCATAAAATTTATGAATTCTACATTTTTCCACTTTGTGAAACATGGATTTATTATATAGTGAAGATCCAGTTTCTTAGAGTGGATATTTCCTCTTCTTTCATACCCTCTAATTAAATTAAGAAAACAAATCTTGTAGAGCTTAATATATAGCCTGTATCTAATAAGCTTAATTAGAAATGTTTTTACTAAGACTGGTGATACTGACAAAACTATTTTATTGAAAGACCCGCAAAACATATGTAATCCAAGAAACTGAGATTCCGCATGACTGATAAAGGTTTTATGGACATCTCTTGAGAGTAATTCTTTGATAATATATGTGTATCTTGCTCTATCTGGAACATGGATGAGTTTTCAGTATCATTAATACAAGTCCCACCTAATAATTTCTCATAGCTTTGAAGATAATTATCAGACCGTTTAATATTGCAGATAGAATCATGGAAACTCTGCTTAGCCAAGAAGAATTTGGAAAGTTTAATAGCTTTTCTGTGCCCATGCCTTCTATGACAACTAATCCATTATAAGTGTTTTCCTGCTCCATCATCAGATTAACACATTTATTAACTTTAGATTTTTTTTTCAATATCACTTTCAATTTAAACCAAAGGCTGCTTAATAGAAAGTAAGCAGTTTTCATGAGTAGTCTAACTTTTTTCTTCCAGAACTTGAAGAATCCAGGCAGAAATGCCCACCCTGCTGGTATAAATTTGCTAACCTGTGTTTGATTTGGGACTGCTGTAAACCCTGGTTAAAAGTGAAACATCTCGTCAACCTGGTTGTGATGGACCCATTTGTTGACCTGGCCATCACCATCTGCATTGTCTTAAATACACTCTTCATGGCCATGGAGCACTACCCCATGACGGAGCAGTTCAGCAGTGTGCTGTCAGTCGGCAACCTGGTAAGGCTCACTGAGGGTACCTCTTTCAATGGACTTAATGATTGACATAATGAATTTTACTCTCACACTTGATGAATATCAACTCTCAAATTAAATATGAATTTATTGGCTGAGTATACCTGGACAGAAAAAGTTTAGCTTCCCTTTATAAATAACAAAAATATATCACCAAATGAAGGAGTGCGAAAAATTCAAAGATTTTATGTACAATTTGATTTAGAATTAAATTTAAGTTGCTCATCTACTTATATATAAAAAAAATGGGTGTTGCTCATCATGACCATCAGAATCGCAACCAAGCAGAAGGAAGTCAGTCCTGCAGGGGTTGTCTTGGCAACGGCTGTGCGCTCCCCCGAGCTGTTTCCCAGAGCTGTTTCCGGCAAGGGCAGGGTTTGAGGCAGGAACTAGCCCTCAGAGGAACTAGCCCACTGAATCCTGGGTCGCTTTGCCAAGGGCTGCGCCAAGGGCAGGGTTTGAGGCAGGAACTAGCCCTCAGAGGAACTAGCCCACTGAATCCTGGGTCGCTTTGCCAAGGTCTGCGCCTTCCCCGAGCTGTTTTCCAGAGCTGTTTGGGTGTAACATCAAGCCAGAAGCTCGACCAAGTGGAAGGAAGTCAGTCCTGCAGGGGTTTCTTGGCAACGGCTACGCCCTCCCCCGAGCTGTTTCCTGGAGCTGTTTCCGGTGAGGGCAGGGTTTGAGGCAGGACCCGAACCTCGGAGTGTGGACCCACTGAATCCTAGGTCATTTGCCAAGAGCTGTGCCCTCCCCAGCTGTTTCCCATGTGGCCTGAGGGAAGAACCCACCCTCAGAGCACCAGGAGCACCCATCAGTAGTCAGTCCTGGGTTACTGAGGTGGAGGCCTCGGCATGGTAGAACTCTGGGTCTGGCCCAACAGGGGGCATGGCCGACCTTCAAACCAGACCCTGACAGTAGAAAGGAGGGAGCCCCATTCCCCACAGAATCCGATGTTGGATAGCTTGCTGTCAGTGGCCTGACAGCCAGGAACCCCATTCTCCTGTACCCCGGACCCTGACAGGAGGGAGGAGGGAGCCCCTTTCCTCATGGAATCGACAGGTGGACAGTTTGCTAATTGATTCCCTTTTTAAAAAAATATATTTTATTGATTTTTTATAGAGAGGAAGGGAGAGGGATAGAGAGTTAGAAACATCGATGAGAGAGAAACATCGATCAGCTGCCTCCTGCACACTCCCCACTGGGGATGTGCCCACAACCAAGGTACATGCCCTTGACAGGAATGGAACCCGGGACCCTTGAGTCCGCAGGCCGATGCTCTATCTACTGAGCAAAATCAGTTAGGGCAATTAATTCCCTTTTAACATGCACAAATTTCGTGCACTGAGCTACTAGTTCATTAGAAAGATGATTATGAATTATGGAGGACATTGATCTATGATTTTTAAAAAATCCTGATGTATTTTTCCAAGTATTTAGAATAGATTTTTAGGACATATATACTTTGCCAAACAAGTTATAAAATATGCCAAGTCAAATAATTTTATCACTTATAAATACACTTGAGGCCTGGTGCATGAAATTCATGCACTGGGGGCGGGGGCAGGGTCCCTCAGCCTGGACCTCGCTCCTTATTGCCCATCTGCTCGCTGCTCCTTAGCACTGCTCCTTAGCACTGCCATGAGCCTGGCTTCTGCCTGAGCAGCACTCCCCCTGTGGGAGTGCACTGACCACCAGGGGGCAGCTCCTGCATTGAGTGTCTTCCCCCTTGTGGTCAGTGAACTTCATAGCCACCTGTCATTCGCCCCTTCCATCGATTTGCATAGTAGGCTTTTATTATATAAGATTAAGGTGGATTCTTTGTGGTAGGAAACATCATATAGTGGTTATTATTTCTGTTTAAATTTCTTCTATAAAATTAGGAATTTATAAATGATGATTTTTGCATATATTTTTACTCTGGCTACATGATAGAGCAGGGGTGGGCAAACTTTTTGACTCGAGGGCCACAATGGGTTCTTAAACTGGACCGGAGGGCTGGAACAAAAGCATGGATGGAGTGTTTGTGTGAACTAATATAAATTCAAAGTAAACATCATTACATAAAAGGGTACAGTCTTTTTTTTTTTTAGTTTTATTCATTTCAAACAGGCCGGATCAGGCCCGCGAGCCGTAGTTTGCCCACGGCTGTGATAGAGTGATAGAAATGAAAGTAAAGTGGTCTTTACAGACAAACAAAAGGAATAAATTTATATAAAAATATAAGAGACTTATTAAGTTCTCATGCATTTTCCACTTGATATATGAACAGATAAACAGGTTGTATACAGATATTAAATAATATATTCTAAAGTATAATGTACAATATTTTTAGGATCTGAAGTAACCACTGTGTTTTTTATTATAGTCCAGACTGGTCTTCACTGATCCAATGATAAAGTTAATATATGCTGACCACTTGTATTATTAGGCACTATGCTAAATGGTTTACATAAAATCCTTCTCTCTAGGTTCCCACAAATTTAGTCCTAAGGTAGATACTGTGATTGTCTGCATTTTACCACTTGGGAAACTGTACCCATGAGAAACTGACATAGTGGTGGAAGGTATGAACCCTGTATCAGACTGTGAAAGCTATTTCAGAGAATATTGTAAGCTATCGCCAACAATCACAGACCTTTAGAGGAGGGAAGGACAATAACATTACCTCTTGCAAATTGTCATCTACATAGGAATCTCTTCAACATTACCTCTAAACTATGAGCAAGAGATGAAAGAAAGCTTTGTGGAGGGGGGTATTTAGAAACAACTCAAGTGGGCTTAAGCAAAAATAAAGAGAATCCATTAACTCAAGTAAGTAAAGTCAATTTGGGCATAGCTCCATATTTTAACCTGGCTAGATTCAAGTTCTCAGTCAATGTTATTGGGAGTCAGTTTCCTGCCCTAATTCTTCCCAGTATGTTTTGTTCATCTATGACTGGGTATTCTATTGGTGACAATGTTCTACACAATCTTTATCCTACCAACATAGGTCCTATTAGTACTTCCTAACTAATAGTTTTAACAGAAGCCTAAGAGTTGGTTATCATTGGCTCGATTGGAGTTACATGACCATTTCTAAGCCAGTGGTGACTCTGATTCTAGGGTTAGCATGCCTATTTGGTAAAACAATACCCCTGTTTTATCACTGAAGACAAAGTAAATAAAATGAATTATGAAGAAAAAAAGTAGGTCTGTTATTACCAGAAGAAGAGAAAGTAGTTGCTAGAAAGACATAGTAACAAATGGACAATTCATAGGTGGGACTAGTCTTATGTGTTAAAGAAGGTAAATTTGTATTTGAGGTGAATCATGGAGTAATGAAATATAGAGAGACAAGATACACATTCGGGTCAAGATCATATGGAATATTACCCAGGGTAAGTTATATTTTAAGTCATAAGACAAGCCTCTTTGAACTTAAAAAAAAGATAGAAATCATATAAAGTACATTTTCTGACAAAAACAGAATGAAATCAGTAACAGAAATAAATTTGGAAAATTTACAAATATGTGGAAATTGAAAAACATACTCCTAAGTAACTAGTGGTTTAAAGAAGAAAAAAAGGGTGTGTGTGTTGGTGATAAGAATAGATTATGGATTGTGGTGGTGGATATTCAGAAACAATCCATAATCTATCCTTACCCTTTAAGACACTAAAAAAGGAAGCAGAAACTAAACTCTATGCTAGCAGAAGAAAAGAAATAATAAAGAGTGAAAATGAATGAAATAGAGAATAGGAAAACTAGAAAAAATCAAGAAACTCAAAAGTTGATTCTTTGAAAAGACTGACAGAAATGACAAGTCTTTAGCTAGACATCTAAACTAATAAAAGGGTAGTATGCTTATTAGACCAGACATCTTTCAGATGAACTTCCAGATGTCCTTCCTGACAAAGCCGGGCCCAGGCAAAGCCGCCGCCCACAGTCCCAGGTGCCAGCACCTGCGGCCCAGGAGACAGAGAAAAGCAGCCTGCCCCGTGGTCCCAAGCACCAACGCCTGCAGCCCAGGAGATGGAGAAAAGCTGCTTGCCCTGTGGTCCTAGGTACCTGCGGTTGGCCTGGGTGAAGCCGCCTGCCTATGGTCCCTTGTGGCTGCAGCCTGCCCGGGTGAAGCCGGACTGGGTCCTGGGTGCCTGTGGCCGGCCAGAGGGAGGGAAGCCTGGGTCCCGGGTGCAGGGCCAAGGCAGAGGTAGTTAGGGGCAATCAGGAAGGCGAGCAGGCAAGTGATTAGGAGCCAGCAGTCCTGGATTGCTAGAGGCATGTCTGACTGCTAGTTTAGGCCCGATCCCTGTGGACATCCCCCGAGGAGTCCTGGATTGGAGAGGGTGCAGGCTGGGCTGAGGGACACCCCCCCCATGCATGAATTTCATGCACTTGGCCTCTAGTACAAAAATAAAAGACTTAAATCATTAAAGGGGGAATGAAGAAGGAAGAGGGAATCTCACTATAAACCTTATAGAAATAAAAAGGAGTATAAAGAATAATACAAACAATTGTATGCCAACAAATTAGATAACCTTGATAAAATAGAAAAATCCCTAGAAAGTAACAAAGTACTGAAACTGACCCAAGAAGAAACAGAAAATCTGCAAAAGCCTATAACAAGTACAGATTGAATTAGTAATTTAAAAATAATATTCCCACAAAGGCAAGCCTAGGCCAAAATAGTTTTACTGGTTAATTCTACTGAATGTTTTAAGAATTAGCACGAAGCCCTGGCTAGTGTGGCTCAGTTGGTTGTAATGTTGTCTTATACACTGAAGGGTATTGGGTTTGATTCCCATTCAGGGCACATGCCCAGATTGTGGGTTCCATCCCCATCAGAGTGTGTACAGAAGGCAGCCAATCAATGTTTCTCTTTCTCTCTCTAAAATCTAAATTTAAAAAAAAAATTAATACCAGTTCTTCACAAAGTGTTCCAAAAAAATAAAAAATAAAAAATTAGAAGGGAATACTTGCCAACAAAGTTGGGAATTTGAAGCAAA